TATATATGTGTATATATGTATGTATGTATATATGTGTATATATGTATATATGTATATATGTGTATATATGTATATATGTATGTATGTATATATGTGTATATATGTATGTATGTATGTATGTATATATGTGTATATATGTATGTATGTGTATATGTATGTATGTGTATATGTATGTATGTATACATGTATGTATGTGTGTATGTGTATATGTATGTATACATGTATGTATGTGTGTATGTGTATATGTATGTATGTATGTATATATGTGTATATGTATATATGTGTATATGTATGTATGTATATATGTATGTATATATGTATGTATATATGTATGTATATATGTATATATGTATGTATATGTATATGTTTGTATATGTATGTATATGTATATGTTTGTATATGTATGTATATGTATGTATATGTATATTTATGTATATATGTATTTATATATATGTGTGTGTGTGTGTGTGTGTGTGTGTGTGTGTGTGTGTGTGTGTGTGTGTGTGTACATATATGTGTATATATTTTTCTTTTTATGATGGAGGGTGGAGGATGAGTTGATGATTGAGAAGAAGAAGCTCCTCTGAAGTCTGTTGGTTTGGCAGCTGATACTTCTGTTTGTCTCTCCAGACAGCAACAGGTTGTGTTGGTGGGTTTAGTCTTTTAATATCCTTTAGCTCTTTGCAGGCACCTCTCATCACTAATATCACTGATGCTCAGTAGATGGTACCAGTGATGTTCTGGGCGGTTTGGATCCCCCGCTGTAGAGCCTCCTGTCCTGTCCCGTACACATCCCATGTCAGTTTGTTATGTTTCCAGTCAGGATGCTTTCTATTGCTCCTCTGTAAAAGTTACCAAGAACTTGTGTCGGGAATTTTGCCTTTTTAAGTTTGCTTAAGAAATAGTCGTTTAGGATGGAGATGTGTGAGGACCATGTCAGGTTGTCTGTGATGCTGATCCCCAGGAGCTTAAAGCTACTAACTTGCTCCACCTCATCCATTGATGTAGACAGGGATGTGTGTCTTCGCCTCCTTTTTTCTAAATCAACCATCAGCTCCTTGGTTCTACTGACGTTGAGCAGCAGGTTGTTCTCTGAGCTCCACTCTGAAGGCTGTTGTTGATCTTTTTTGGGGGGGGGGCTTTGTAGCTGCAAGGAATATCCTCTGGTGGAGAAGTGGACACGCTGGTGGAATTCAGGTTAAACATTTGTTTGATGAAAATCACCAGCTATGATACAAATACCATCATGTCTTTTGGTCATGTGTCTGCTGATGACCTCATACAATTCCTGTAGTACATTTTTTGAATATGCATCGGGAGGAATGTAAACAGCAGCAATAAAAACACTTTGACTACGTTTGAGCAACAATCACCACCGGTGTAAACACAGCTCGTCTCCCCTCTTCTTAGTCTCGCCTTCTGTCTGTTGCCTGTCAAGTGCAATAGCTTGATGCGGGGTGTTATGATGAAGCCAGATTTCTGTAAAGATGTCCGAGTCTTCTCTCATCCATCTCATTTAGCAGCAGCTGGACATCAGCGAGGAGCAGGCTGGACAGTGGAACAGCCTCAGGTCCTAGCGGTTTAGCTCTCTTCCTGGTCAGTCACACAGCTTTCAGTGGCGTTTGGTTTGGCGTCGATCATTTCAAGATCTGCTGTACAAACTCTTTTTTCCGGGATTGATGAGTGTGTTTTGGTCATAAAACTGTGCCGCAGTTGCCATGGTATTTAGGGCCAGTAAAGAAGTTCATCCACTTTGTGCTTTCTGTTTCATTTCAGCATTAAAAACCAGATGATAAATAAATGATTTATGGCCATTAAGTCTCAACCAACGTGTGTCCCAACTGTCTAGTTTACAGCTTCAGTATTGAAATGTGTGCAATGTGTGCAGTCCAGTGGAACAGAGTCAGAGTGTCTTGAGCTTCTGTACTGTGACCTCATTCATAGTGAAAAAGGATATCTGGATGACAAAGGAGAGATAGTCTGTATAAAATAGATATTAAAGAGGGAATTATGACCTGTTTAACTTCACACACCCCAACACTTGCTCTAAGCAACGTTCAACATAAGATTAAATCTAATAATGCAATGATTATTTAATCAAATCAAATATTTGAATAAGAATACAATCACTTGTTTCCTAATCATTTGAATTGTGTTTTTATGCAAATAATCACTGTGGATGACAATAACATAGAAAATCAATATGTGGCAGTCAATGCTGATACTGTGGCAGGTCGCCACAAATACATCAATCTATGAGAAATACTGAATTTAGCAGATCTTTTTCTTGTGTCACACAAAATGGCAAGAACTTATGTCATTTTAGGCCACTTGAAAAATAGAGTTGTGACTTTTGAAATGGGTCAAACCTTTTTTTTTTTTTTTTTTTTCTGAATAGTTTTTATCCAGATGGTCACAAGGGGCTCTGAGGATGTGGGTATTACTTCCATAGCAGAAGTAAGGATAGTTAAAGACATTTTGGGGTATATATCTTTTATAAACAGATGATAGCTTTATGACTTAAATGTAAATGATAACGTAGTACATTAGAGGCACAAACTGCTGCTAACATGCTTGATCCTACACTCCCCATAATGCCCCTTGATACCAGCTTTCATTAGATGCTCCTGGCCTGGAAGATGTTTTACACCTCCAGGCTTTCTGTGTAGTCTAGAAACAAAAAACATTCTACTAAATATTCTTAACCATGGAATGTGGATCTTGTGTTACTCATGAGTTTTCACCGCTGTCCACTGTCTTCCTCCGCTAGTTCCAATGTCAAGAATAGACCTTCATGTTCGTTAAACATGTGAGTAGTACCTCTTATGGCTAGTAAGATGTAGTAAGATGCTCTATTCTGAATGTGCCAGTTAACATTGTTGCAAGCTGGTAAACAGCTGAGGCTGACCTGAACCAACACATGCAACAGACATGATCAGTGAGTCATTAACTCCACAAACCCAGTCAACATCTCTTCTCTGTTTGCACGTCCGTTTGCACGTCCAAGCACTGTGAGTTTCTTGCCAGATGAGATAAGTGTACTTTGAATTCAATAGTAGTGAGTGGTCTCATCCTCTCTCTTGGGACCCCCCCGTGGGATCGCTTGAGCTCTGCTCCACTTCCACAAAGTGACTCTTGACATTTTCTGTGTGTGTGCATCAGGGACATGTTGATGGCAGACTTGGCAGCCACGGTAACCTTCGTGGAGTTGCGCGAGGAGGTGAGGACGATGTGCAGCGTTGCCAAGCAGCAGCCCATCACACTCAAGTGGATCGATGATGAAGGTGGGTGTGCCTCACGGCAGGGTGTCCGCTAGAAATAATTGGTGCTGGTCCTTCTGCGTTGACTCTTAAGCTTCTGGGATTTTTTTTTTGGAAATGTATCTTTAAGATGTTTTTTAAACTACAATGTGTTATACAAGGAGCAAAGCCCTTTAAGTATTAACTTCGTGTGAGAGAGAGACCATATAGACCGTATGTATACATTTGGGAGTTAACAGACTATCACATTCTCTTCATTTCCTCTCATGAGTAAAACAAATAGAAGTCTTTTATATCAGATTATATGTTATAAGTAGATTGCAATTATTAGAACAATAGGAACATTGCATATGGTTGAGGGTTAGGCTCCCTTATGTCGCCCAAAGGTGTACTGCAAATGTTAAATACTAGACTATGTAGGAAATTCTGCTAATTTATTTGACCCTAATAAAATCTCCCGCGACCCACCTATGGGTCCCGACCCAGTGTTTGGGAATGACTGCTTTAGGTTATATGTTGGTGAATAAATGCTACAGCTCCTCAACCTTTGACTGGCTTGCCAAGACACAAGGACTTTTCTTCCGGAATGAATAATGGAATCGGATGCTTCTCTGCACAGTTATGTATGTATTCTGTGTGTGTGTGTGTGTGTGTGTGTGTAGGGGACCCTTGTACCATCTCGTCTCAGATGGAGCTGGAGGAGGCATTTCGTATTTACAATCAAACCAAGAGGTCTGGTCTACTGCTGCACGGTGAGTTAGCTCCTACTTTTAACTACATTGTATAATCATTAATGCAACTTAACTTTTCGCCACAATGGGAAACTTGAGGAGACTTAAAACACGACAATAAGGCACATAACTTGCTAAATTATTTACCATTTTTCCGTTTATTCATGGAAATTAATACAATTAATACAAATTCAGGGTGTTCATCATCTGGATTGCATGTGGTTGAGGGTTAGGGATTAAATTTAGTTTATTGTTGTCACAGAAAACATCAGATTGAAATCTCCTTTAATTTTCTGTCTTCTGCAGTCTTCCCCAGTATCCCGGAGCGGCCCGGCATGCCCTGCCCTGGAGAAGACAGTGAGTAAACCCTCTATCCGCCTCGGGGACCCCCAATGGCACTGTTAAACTAGGTCAAGTGCCCCTGTACCTGGCTGTGGTGTAAGTACAAGGTGGAGGCGGGTGAGGGCTCTCTAGAAGACTCATTTCTCTCAAATAGCCTGAGTCAGCCATGATTCAGAGTGAACAGCGGTCACAGAGTTACAGTTAGATCATGCAATTTTGCAGCCAGAGGTGGATTCCAGCCAAGAGAAGTCGGTGAAATTAAGAGTTTGCGATTTTTGCAGCTGGTGAAACGGAGGGTGAGCACTGCAGAGACACAATTTCTCTTTTGTGCTTCCGCTTTTTAACCCCCAGGCTAGGGGACTAAGGCGGAAATACTAATCTTAACAGATGCTTTTGTTTGGTAATCATCTGGTCCCTCTAGCTTGTACTATTTGTCCACCCCAGCACACTGGACAAGTCAGCATGCGGAGCAGGCCACCAGTCCATCACAGGGCTAATACATATATAGCTTCTTTCTAAAGAAGCCTAAAGATTGCTCTTTAACTTTAACAATGCTGTGTAAATGTGACACCGTAGCCGCTGCTGCTCTGCGTCTCTTTCATGTACTCCCTGTCTATTTGCTGTGACAGCAGGTTTCAGCACCCCGTGAGAGGGCCTGTGTGTGTCTGATGGGACGGGAGCCCTGTGTGTTTGTGCTGAGGCAGACTCCTGGTTCACTGTGTGAAGAGCAGAGTGTCATTCTGTAGGTAGGCGATGAAGGTCTCGCTGTCTCAAACACACACCGAGCTGGTGTCCATGTGTCGTGGCTGATGTGTGCTGTACTCTAACAGTAATAACTGGGGCTTCCTGCTGTGTTTTCTTGTTTGCTTGGTGTTGCTGAACATGAGGAGGGAAGGATAGTGCTGTTTTTTTTAGAGAGGAGGAGAGAGGAAGAAAGAATGAGATTGAGTGGAGGAGGGAGAGGCACTGTGTCTGTTTTCCAAGGCTGACTGTACTGATATCTTCTGATTAACTATGCAGTAGATGGTTTGTCATTTTTAAAAAGAGGGTCACTAAGAAGAAAAAGACTATCTACCTAATTGTCAACAGGCCTTTTCTATAAAAGAGCAAATTTGTACCTAACTGAAGATTCCTGACCATTTTACTGCCATTTATTGCCATCAAATTGTGATCTTGAATAGGTAAACCAGCTAGAAGACATATACAGTATGTTGAAAACACACATGTTAAATACTTTCTAAGTGATATCAAAAAATGCATTTAAGAGAAGTTAAGAGACTATCTTATTCTTTTAATTTCCTCTCTTTGTAAAACAAACAGAATGTAAACTAGCCTTTTATATTAGATCATAGACTGTATGTAAGAAGTGGGCATAGTCACCGTGACATCACACATTGGTTTGTGGACTGCTTTTTTGAAGCCTTTAGTTCTGGTTGTTGGTCGTCACCATCTTGTTTTTTTGCACTTAAAAGTGACATGAAAGGGTGGAGCTTTGTACAAATGCTGAATAAGACCAAAATGTTACAACTAACTTTCATGAAGTGAAAAAACACTGTGAGAGGGTTGAAGTTCGAAGATGGAAACACCCACAACGCGGTAGCAACCTGCACAAGGTAGCCCCGCCCTAAAGCATGCTCTGCTTTATGGTCTATTGGACTCAATGGATACATCCACACTGTTTTGAAACGGGCTTTTAAAATCAAAACAATCTCTGTCCACACGGCGATCCAGCACCGTTTTAGAAATGATTTCCGTCCAGTTTAACACACCTGAAAACAAATATCTCATGAATATTCATGTACACTGGGCATGCGGGTGCTGGTGTAAACAGGAAGTATATTGGTTGCTTTGTTACAGAAAATACGACAGAGTATTGTAGTACTTTAATAATAAAAGGTTGGGCTTGATACTTAAGATCTTCCTCTATTATAAGTGTTATAATTAGGCTACAATCATCAGAACAATACGAACATTCAGGCTCCCTGGTGTGGCTCAAAGGTGAACTGCAGATATAAAAGTTTAGCAAAAGACAATAGAAGAGAATTATGCAAATGTGATTTTTGACCGTAATAAATCTTCTGCGACCCACCTGTGGGTCCTGACCCAGTGTTTGGGAATGACTGAAATATACTACAGTAACAGGACGGTGGTTTAAATAAAGGATGTTGCTGTTGAGTACTTGGACAGAAATTGTCATTTCACTGTTTCACTATTGGTATTCAGGATTAGTGAAAAGCATATTTTACATCATGATAAGAAAATAAAACCAAATCAAAGAACGTGCCCTTGTAGCCACGCCTAACTGGGTGGGATTGGCAGCTGTGGTGTTGTTACTGGAGATCGATTGACAATGCTCTGAAGTTTCATTAATATCAGATGTTGCTTGAAGGAGTTAATCAATCCTATGTCCACTATGTGGCGCTAGAGACCACACTTACATTATGTTGCTGTATATCAAGTGTGGACCACCCAATGTAAAGGTCCATTGGATGATGTTCGTCCTAGAAGGCTGTCTCCCTGTTGCCAGTATGTGGAGCTATAACTATGAGTCAATATGGACATGCAGATATCTGGACTCTTAACAAGCATGTTACATTTGGGGCAGATTGAACAATGTATGGTTGAGTTACAACAGCTTTCTGTTTCATGGCGAAACGTGCCTCGCCATGGCAACGCAGCTCTGTAATTTACCTTTGGGTGTTAAGACGTACCGTAGCACATTTGAGATGTATCCCATAAAACCTGTAGCAGGAGTTCAAAAGAGTTAGCATGCAGTAGAAACCATAGACTGTGTATAAGAAGTGGATATTGTCGTCATGACGTCACCCATTGGTTTGTTGACTGATGTTTTGAAGCTCCGAGTTCGGCATATCAGCCGTCGTCATCTTTGATTTAGGCCATCGCCATCTTTTCTTTGCAACCAGTGAACGGTAGTGACCATATTTAGGCTGCAAAGGAGTGACATAGGGAAGTATACGGCTCAGACAGTGGCAGCGACTACTCAATCACATTTAGCCCCGCCCTAAAGCATACTCTGCTTTATGGTCTGTTTGACTCTAAATGGACCATAATTTACTAAATGAACATCATGCTGTATTGAAGAAGACTTGAAACTAGAGATTGAGACCATAAACTCATGTTTACAATGTTTACTGAGGTAATAAATCAAGAGAGAAGTAGAGTCATTTTCTCATAGACTTCTATACAACCAGAGGAGTCGCCCCCTGGTGGACAGTAGAAAGCATTGGTTTCACTTTTTAGAGCAGAGGTTGGAGAAACGCAAAAAATTCAAAATGGTAGACTTCCTGTTCAGCTGAATTAATGAAATACGAGAGCAATGTGCACATTTCGTGAATATTGGATCAACTTTATACAGACTAAGGCTTGCCACGCATTGGAGGGCTCTACGGAGCCCGCAAAACGTGCATTGACCCAATCACTGTATATTCTTGCAAGGTTCTGATGCCTGCGCCAAGTTTCGTTGGTTGCCGAGGTTACCGAGGGCATCAAAAATGGTTTGAAGGCTAAATGTAATTAGGGGGCGCTATAGAGTCGATGTGCCACGCAATATCAAATCAAAGATATGAACTACTTGAAAGTTATTTTTTGATTATCGGCATCAAACGTGTTAAGAAAGTTAAAAATGAACGCAACAAATCCATAATGGCTGACTTCCTGGAAAACACTTAATTTATAAAAAGAAATGACATATGGTCCCATGTGATTATGGTAAATTCATGTTACCAAAATAAAATGCAGATTTTCTTTTGTATTGTTGTCAACTCTATGCTTTAAACTGACAGATGTCCTGAAATGTCTCATCAAAAGGTAGAGCTGACAACAATAGACAAGGCTCCCCTTAAAAGCAGCTTGCTTCTCTATTTTGTTTCCAGCCTTGAAGTGTGTGTGTGTGTGTGTGTGTGTGTGTGTGTGTGTGTGTGTGTGTGCGCGCGCGCGCATGAAGAGTGAACAGACCCCCCTCTGTGTGGAGAGAGAGAATGATGGAGAGTGGGACGTATTCAAATCCAGGATGATGCGCTCAGCACAGGCTGCCCTGCCTTGCACCGGATTCTCCAGCAGAGCCCCCCCCCTTCCCCCCGGCACCCCTCCACCACCAAGCACCGCCCATCCACCCACAGCTCCACCCTCCTCTTCCCCCTCCCACCACGCTTTCCCAGCATCCCCCTCTCTTTCGCTCAGCTGTATGGCACCGCTGTCTCTCCGGGGAGGAGCCTACAGTGCTGCTGCATCAGAGAGAGAGAGAGAGAGAGAGAGAGAGAGAGAGAGAGAGAGAGAGA